CCTCTGGCCACAGTAGAAACATCGGCCTGTCGAAGAGTTTACAAATTGTGGAATGATGAACGGATTCTAGAACCTCACTCGGAAACAGAAACACTTCACCTGGTCCACCAATTTCCGAGGTTCCAAAGATGACGTTTGCCACGTAGCGAGCCTCCGTATCGCAGGTCTCATCAATGGAAACGAAAATCTTCCCACGCAATTTATTCCTAATCATTTCCAGGATACTGTTACAGCACTGGGGAAGGTAGTTCTTCCTGAGTGTGGATTCATCCGGGATGGAACGACCACAATTCACTTCCAGAAAACTTTTCAGAGACCAAAACGGAATATTTACGGACACCAGAGCATCACATAGATCTGTGAAAAAATACGATGACTTATTTTCGCCTTCATATGAACACTGTTGCAGTAACATTTGCACAGATTTTTCTTTGTTCGAAATATGCACTGCTAGTATATGCTTGTTACGGCCGATATGTTGATGTACCGTGAAAATTGTCTGCCGCAAATTTTGTGTCAATCATGTTACAGTATAAAATGTTTACCGAGCGTCGCGCAGCAACGGGATGAGTTGGGGTATGTGACGTCACTCGCACTTCCTCTTACGCCATCCAAGCGTTCACAGAACTGTCGCCTAGCAACAGGCCGATAAAATCCGCAACTCTCACATTGCGCGCGTGCGCAAGACACAAAAGCTTAAGTCCGGGGAGTATGGTGAATGGTACAGCACTTCCCAGCCCCATCGATCGAACATATCAGCCACAGCTTGCGCTGCATGCGGCCGAGCACTGTCCTGCAAAATGATGGGTGGGTTCTGCAGAAAGTGTCGCCGCTTCTTTCCCAAAGCCGGTAGCAGGTTGTGTTCCAAAAAGGAACAGTAATACTGTGTATTGACGGTCTGCTGTCGTGGAACGATATGCATTAGGATTACATAATCACAGACGTACACGATAATCACCATAACTTTCACACTGCTGGGGTTCTGACGAACTTTTGATTTTCGTGGTGACCCGTAATGACGCCATTCGTGGCTCGTACGATTTGGCCCATGTCTCATCCAGCGTAATGATAGGGCGTAAAAAAGCCTCTCCTTCGCCCTCCAAGTCGTTACGAGCAGCGTCGTATCATAGACATTTCTGCATTTCCGTCAAATCATGCGGAAGCCATCGCGATGCAATTCTTCTCATGCCCAGGCGTTCCTTCAGAATGTGAAGCAGTCGTATACGCTAATCCTGTCTCTCGGGCCAGCTCACAAATCGTATGGCATCGATCACTCTCCAGTAACGCGGAAAGAGCATACACTTCTTCTTCACTGACACTAGGACGACCTGGCCGACGCATGTCTGCCACATTTTGGCGTCCTTCGTTGAAGGCTTTTACCCACCTTGCCAGTGTTCTGTAAGGTATTGCAGATTCCACGCTAGCCTCTTGAAGACCTTGATGACACCGTCGTGATGTACGACCTCTGACTCATTCAATTTTTATCCAACTCCGCTGTTATTGTTTCGAAAACATCGTGACAACACTACATTAGAGCGCCAGATAACACGAGGCTCTGTTCTTCTCGTCACAGCGCATTCGCGTGATGTGGGAAGGGAGAGTCCATTTGCTCTGAGGTAAGGTAGGTATGTAACTAACGTGTGGTATAAGCGACATTATTTGGTTCCATTGCATGGCGTCTCTACAGCAGTGTTGTCACTATTAAAGTTCCAAACCTCGTATATGGCAAGAAGTGGAACATCCATTGGACCCAAGGTGTGTCATGAATGATGCACATGTGGAAACTTGCTATTATGCTCATAACTATCTTAGGTACACTTTGAAATAAAACATTAGTTTCTTGGATGTTTCTCATTTTTCTAAATACTGGTTCTCAAAATTCTACCATTATTTTCCAGACACCTTGTACTAAAAGGTATGCATCATGGAATGAGATGGAGGAATTGAAAGAAATCAGTCCCAATCTATTTTATGGTTCTATCTACTGCCATGGGATCAAGTAAATCACAATAATCCTGTCAGGATAATAAGTTCCCAGCCAAGAATATAGTACAACAATAAAAGCCAGAAATGTATTATTGTTTAGGTAAACCTTTACTGTGTAGGAATGGAGGTTGTCATGATGGTAGTTCATGGTAAAGAGTTCTACCACCTGGTATATAATGCTGTGCTGCCCAATGGAAGTCAACCGGCATTTTCGAGGAACGTGTCACCTCTATCATTAGCAAGAAACCAGCATGAAACAGGCAGCAAGCAATGCTTTCATCACACTACAAAACTATGTAATGCAAACATTTTGCTCAACAAATGTAATGCAATTCCAGTTACTTTTGTACTGAAGGTGTTTATTCATAAGTGCAGCAAATCTAATGCAATTTTTCCACAAAGTCCCTGCCAACTTTGGAGCCTGTCACAAACACTAAACCATTGTCATCCTTAAACTTTTCCCACATCCAGGAAGACCAAAATTAATGATTAACTGTCTTCCAGGATATAACACCGTGTAGTCTGGGGAAAGTTAACCGATGTTTTTAGGCTTGCTGCATGCTTCATGCTGTTTTGTTACTTTGATTACTCTTATTCCCTGATAATGGAGGCAACATGATCCTCTGAAACATCAGTTGACTTTCAATTGACTATACTGTGTTATATCCCAGAAAACAAACTCTTCAATGCTATCTACTGATTTCTGTGAACTTCAGAGCAAATACATGAGAGGTTAATAACATGGCAACAGAAACTTAATTCAATAACTCTCATTCCATAGCTGCAATTACTGCACATTCATTGACTGAAGTTTGTAGAGCCCATGGGTGACTTGCATTCACATATGCTATTCATTTTACACTTCTGTCTCATGAGGCAACAGAAACTTAATTCAATAACTCTCATTCCACAGCTGCAATTACTGCACATTCATTGGCTGAAGTTTATAGAGCCCATGGGTGACTTGCATTCACATATGCTATTCATGTTACACTTCTGTCTCATGAGGATACTGCTCCAGACATTGAAACATTTTAGCATCTGGACAAAGTTTACCAAAACGAAGAATACACGGCGCCAAAACCCAGAAGACGACTTTCTTCAACTGCCATCTTGTTTTTAGAAAAAAATTCCTGCACAATGTAAGCCGTATGCAGTCGTGTGTTGTCATGGTGGAGTGCCCATTCATTCGTGCGCCACTTCTCTGGACATTTTCTCCTCATGTCCTCCCTCAAACGTATTAGAACATCACGACAGAACTCTTTATTGACTATCTGACCAGGAGGGACGAACTCCTTATGAACAATCCCGTCAATATAAAAAAAACAGATCAACATGGACTTAATGTTGCTCTTGACTTGTAGAGCTTTTTTTTGGCCGAGGTGAAGAAGGGCTCTTCCATTGCGACGATTGCTGCTTGCTTTCAGGGTCATAGCCATGTCTGTCACATGGCAGACTGATGAAATAGGATTGTGATGTTCTTTCACTGAGGCAGTTAAAACAATAGGAGTCCGGGAACTTTCTGACTGCACCTCGTATTTATATAGAAGACAATGCAATTGTAAGGCCTGTGGACCTGCACATGCACTGTCACAGTAGTGGGATGCATGGGCGATAAAGGTTAAATTGCGATGAGAAGTAATAAACAGCTATACAATGTAAATTAATTTCTTCATGATCAGACCGGTCTGTTGAAGTTAAATCAACAATTTAAAAGTTAACACAAGTAACACATTTATATTGTACAAGGGTTCATATTTGGCTGAAATGGAAATAAATGCAGAATAATATATTTCAGACTTTATACATTTATTGAAATACAGAATTTGTCACATTTGCATATCAGCACTAAATGAAAAACCACACTGCAAAAGTATAAAATGTATGTCAATGTAATTTTAAAGCCCATTTAAATTATTCTTTGCAAAATTGAATCTCATATCAGCTGCTTATGGGACCAAACAGGCTATTTTTATATAATAATCTTTTTATCATGACTACTGAAAAGATAACATAACAGAAGTATGATCTGTTAGGGAACTAGGGAGTTTCAGTTAGCCGCTTAATCCTTGCATTCATAAATGAAGGCTGCTGTACAATAACATGAACCAGTCTTTCTGAGTTAATTCAATATGTGGTTTCACTCAGTACTCATATTTATGGTTCACTTGTGTTGGCTGTGACTATCAGTCTGAAATTAACTTAATAATTTAACAATAAATACAAATAATACATTTATTAATGTATAAAATATTGAAATAACTTCTTAAAGCATAAATAGGACATTAATATCATATGGTGAAGCACAGGGTGCAATTAAATTAACAAAGGCAAAATTTTGCAGAAGTATAAAAATAAATGTAATATACTCACATGGTTAGGTTAGTCATAGCCAGTTACAAATATAAACCACAAACATAATAATATATTGTGACATATTTGTGCTATGCAGGACGCCCCCTCCCCCACCAGCGGTGGCGTAACAGCGCTGTCGCTGCTACGGTGACAGGCCAGTCAGCGCTCTGCCCCCTCCCCGCGGTGACATAACATCGCTTACCACTGTGACGTAACAGGCGACAACACCTGTAAACATGGCGACTAGGCAACAGGGAGGCAAGCGTTTTCCGTTGTCTGGCTGAGGGTTTATAATAGAACTGCACTGCTTAAGGAGTCAGTTAAAATGTAGCAGCCACCAAAGATAGATAAAATGTAGCAGTAGCCGAAGACAGTTGAAATATAACAGCAGTCACGGAAAGAAGACCCGAATGCATAGTTAGAAGATCTTATGTGATAGTGTGCGATAACTGAGAAGTCAACAAGTGAAGACTTTTGTGTGACTTCAAGATGGTGTGCTGTAGTACAGTTATATTGGGAGTGTGTAATTAAGAGAGACTTGTATAGCTCCCGCATTATAAATACGTGAAGACTACTGAAGATGGAGTGTGAAGAGAATAGTGTGTAGGGTTTGTAAATTGTGTGAACCCGCAACTGTGTTATAATTAATTGTAGCAATGACTTGTAGGTTGTTAAATAAACGAATTAACAATCTGAATGGCGTCTTCAGTAGCAAAACACGTTACAATATTATGATCAAAGCAGTTGAATTTGCTTCCATGAACACTGCAGTTTATTGCAATCACTAACAAATGAATGAAATATAGGCAAAATCTGAAAACCACAGATTTGAGATACAACTACAAGACACTGAACCAAATACCAATACAAGAATTATAATGCACAGAAAGGAGTCATTTTGTACATGACTTTAATTAGAATTTTATTTCTTTAAGTAAAAAAAAAAAGACCTGTTTAACACTGAAATGTTGTAACATAGCATATGCATATGCATTACTATAATATTTAATGAGTAATTCCAATTTAGCACTACAAACAACAGCTAATATTTTTAAACTACATATTGCACTTTAGCTGCAGAAAAGTGAGATCACAGCTATAATAACTATCTGCAAAATGTATACTATTCTAAATAAATAAACAATACAACAAAGAGCAGTGAGAACTTTGAAGTCAGCATACAATAAATCATCACTGCATTCGATCTGACTAGAATCACAACTGGCGAGAGGAATGGTATTACTGTAGTTTGAAAATTCATTGTAAGGAACAGTTTGAATGGGTTGCGGGAGAAGATAACCACATCTGCACTCTCTTTCCTTCAAATGCACAGGGGATGCCTGTGCAATTTTAGTCCTTTTCGATAATTGGGTGCTGCTGTCAAACAAATGTGAATGGGGGAGTTTCATTCTTTCCAATCCAGGGGAACTTACTCCTACCTTTGTCTGTAATTCCAAACTCATTCTTGGTATCAACTTCAAATGGCTTTTTGATATTATTGCCTCAGCTTGAGGAGGAAGATTATGAGTGATTTGTGTGACTACTTTGGAACCAACCCACGTGCCTTTGGGAACACAGGTTGGGAAACTTGAGTGGAATGACCTAAAGAAGTCGCACACTGGTTGGAAGTTCTCTTCCCTCTGAAAAAAAAAGGAATAAGAGAAAAATCATCATCATATAAAACACAACTTAATATAATAAATGTACACAATACTTAATATATAATGGTAATCAAAGAGGCTGTGCATTATCTCGGATAAACTGAATGTTGGAATGCACATGTGAATAATAGCTGAGGGCATGGAAATACCTCTATCTTCTTCTGTGTTCCAGGCAGGGAAAAGAATGACTGCCCTTCTTACTTACTTACTTACTCATGGAGCTGAGGCCTTCTTGAGGAGCCGCCAATTCTGCAGCTACTCAAGAATTTCCCAGCATTTTATGGAACCCGAAGGTTCATCACCGTGTCCACAAGAGCCCTCCAGTGGTCCCTATCCTGAGCCAGATCTATCCAGTCCATACCATCCCATCCTATCTCTCTAAGATCCATTCTAATATTGTCCACCCACCTACGCCTTGGTCTTCCCAGTGGTCTCTTTCCTTCTGGCTTTCCCACCAATATCCTACAGGCATTCCTCGTCTCTCCCATTCGTGCTACATGACCTGCCCACCTCATCCTCCTTGACTTGATCATTCTAATTATACTTGGAGAAGAGTACAAGTTATGAAGCTCCTCATTATGCAGTTTTCTCCAACCTCCTGTCACTTCATCTCTCTTTGGTCCAAATATTCTCCTCAACACCCTGTTCTCAAACACCCTCAGTTTATGTTCCTCCCTTAATGTCAGAATCCAAGTTTCACACCCATACAGAACCACAGGAAAATTACAGTTTTGTATATTCTAATTTTTGTTTTTGGACAACAGACGAGAAGACAAAAGGTTCTGGACTGAATGGTAGCAAGCATTACCCAAGTTCAATCACCTCTTAATTTCCTCCTGAATCAGGTTTCGATCTGTTATCATTGTTCCCAAATAACTGAACTGTGCCACATTTCCAAAACATGTTTCCTATCGTTATGTCATTATTTTGCTCTGAATTTTGGTGACGAGACAGTAACATATACTTAACCTCTTTACTTGCATCAATTAAAGTTTGTGTTTTTTTCTTTATGGTATCTACATTATCACCCAGTAGATTCACATCATCGGCATAGACCAACAGCTGATGTGTCCTGTTTAGTTTCAGTCCCACCTGGTTTTCCTGGACCTTCCTAATTACATATTCTAAGGCAAAGTTGAAAAGGAGTGGCGATAAAGCATCTCCTTGTTTTAGACCATTCTGGATAGCAAATTTATCAGACAAATGTTTACCTACACGGACTTTGCTATACGCTTCATTTAAACACATTTTAATCAACCTAACTAATTTCATGGGTATCCCAAACTCTATCAGAATATTTTACAGTACTTCCTTCCTAACTGAATCGTACGCTTTCTTGTAGTCTATGAATAGCTGATGTACTGTCTCATCATACTCCCATTTTTTCTCCAATATCTGACGAATGCAAAAGATCTCATCTGTAGTTGATCTGTTACGTTGAAACCCACAGTGATGATCCCCAATAATTTCATCTATATATGGACTTAACCTTGAAAGAAGAATATTGGACAACATTTTGTATGAAGTTGATAGCAGTGACATCCCCCGATAATTACTACAGTCAGTTTTATCACCCTTCTTGTGAACTGGTACAATAATAGACTCCTTCCACAGATCAGGCAATTTTTCCTTATGCCAAATAGAAGTAATTAGATTGTGGATCTTAGAACGTAATATTTTGCCTCCGACTTGAATAAGATCTGCCGGAATTTGATCACTACCTGGCGATAATGTCCAACAGATTAAATAAAATACATATTTTTACACCAACAGCTAAAATGGTAGGTGGATGAATTAAGAGCAGAAGATGAAAAATCACAGTAAGTGGCATATTTCTGACAACAAATTTAATAATCACTCACTCATTCACCTCCTTCATCAATGCAACTAAAACTGTTCACAATCGCTCTTTAATTTAAAATGACATTAAAATCACACTCTCACTACTTTGGTGTATGTCCCAACTAATGACAACATACATACGAAGGGGTCACAAACATGGACACCGCAAAAGGAAAGTGACATGGAATGGAGAGAGTTTTAATCTTGAACAAACACATTTTAGTGTGAACGATAATATGCAGCAGCATGGAAATACACTGAGTTACAACCTAGTGCAGTGCAACAGTTTCCAAAAGTGAACAATTTCCTGAAGATGGCCAAGTAGGGCTAAAACACATAGCAATTGATGTGATTTCAATTCCACTTCAAAATAAAGATAGATTGAGAAGAGTATTAAGTTGCATTAAAGATGGAGGTGAACGAGTGAGTGATACATCAATGCATTAACAAATATTCCAGCAGTAGAAAAGTCAATGCTTTTGAAAACTTCATGCTGTACTTCACCAGTTTATTCACTACAACAAAATGTCATTATCACATTTACATGCAACATAAAAAAGGCAAAAAAATGGTGAATACAGCAATATTATATTATATTTCAGCATCCTGCTGCATTGAGGCATCATTCTTATTATTCAAGTACACCAGCAATATTGCAACATGAAAGGAATTTCAGTCCAACTGGGAACTGGGGAAGCAAGTGCGTGCAGAATATTGAAACAGTTGGAGTTGAAAAAAGTTTGTGCAAGGTGGGTTCTGAGGATGCTGACAGATGCCCACGAAAAAACCCGAAAGACTGTGTGCAGTGAACTGTTGGCACAGTGAGAGAATGGTGATGACTTTCTTGCGAGAATTGTGATGGGAGATGAAACTTGGCTGCACCATTTTGAACCAGAAACAAAGCGGCAATCAGTGGAATGGCACCATGCAAACTCACCCAAGAAAAAGAAATTCAAATCTGCGCTTTAAGCATGAAAAGTTATGGCTATGGTCTTTTTTGATTCAGAAGGGCTTTTGCTTGTGGACATCATGCCACAAGGAACCACCATTAATTCTGACGCATATGTGGCAACCCTAAAGAAACTTCAAGCTCAACTGAGCCATGCTCGACCGCATCAGCAAAAACAGGATGTTTTGCTGTTGCAGGACAACGTCCGACCCGACGTGGCACCCTCTGATTACCATCTCTTTGTTAAATTTAAGGAATCCCTTTGCGGAACAAGATTTGAAGATGATGATGTCCTCATTATGCCCACTAAAAGGTGGCTCAGACATGATGGTCCAGAGTTTTACCATGCTGGCATACAGACAATAATTCCAAGGTGGCATAAGGCATTTGAAAGGGATGGAGATAATACAGAGAAGTGATATTTTGTTCCTAAAGGATGTACCAACATACTGTATAAGTAGCAAAGGTCTAGAATAAAAATGTACATAAAATGTATACAAAACTATGCAGTCTACACAATATTCTGAAATTAAAACAAAGTAGACACTATCATATCAACACTTGTTTTATGGTGCTACATGTTTCGGCCCTTATACTGGGTCATCATCAAATGTACAATGATACCAGATTCAATTGCTGAATTGCATCTAACAATTTACGTCTAATTCTTCAATAAGGATTCTTATTGTGCACTTGAGAGTTCTTAAATGCATAAATCGAGTCTTTCACTTAAAATTTTAAGTACTCAGATAATAAAAATTGAAAAAATTAGGGATTAAAGATTAAAACATAAACATTAAAATTGTACTAAATTGGAAATGAATTATTTTGCGATAAGTCTCCTTAAAACTTTGTGACCTCTACATGTTGACGTGATTTTCTGGTAGTAGAAGCAAATGCAGTGTGGGGCACCTGCATATCGGGATCTTCTTACATAAGTTAGGTCATGTGGTCTTGACCTACTATTGTCTTGTGGAGCTTATGCTCGTTATTCTGTATGTCATACCAACAGGTTGTTTATTTGGAACAATCTGTAAAAGTTTTTTAATTATTATAAGGAGAAGCTTGTGAGTGTGTTGTTATTAAACTTAATAACCTAATAATGAGTTATTACCACAAAATTAACTAACTTTCAATTCTATTAATTTTATTTGTTTAAAGTATACATTTCAGAATGCTGTTACATGCAAATATACTTCTACTTATCCATGCTAATTAAGGGGAATGATGTACAAATTATTGAAACACGTGGCAAATTCAACCATAATCTTCGTATATGATGAGCAGACCATGGTATTTGTTCAATACAGAAATTTGGAAATCTAGGCATAGCGTCGATTTGTTCAGTTAAAACAGCAAGACTCTTAGAAGAAGGGTACTGAACATACAATGTGTTTCATTTTTCTGTACAACTTTTGGTCACAGCATTTTTTACTCAGATAAATATTCAGGGAGTTACACTCAAGGCATGCACAGAACCAATGATAAAATGATACTGAGGCATGTCTATGACAAATTTTTAACATTTTAACACAAGTGACCAGCTCGATACAAAAGGGGATCAGTCTGGTATACAGATGGTTTCAAGTCACTGGAGGTGGGGTGTTATGCTCATGGTATGAGAAGCTTATCTTCAGCCTTGGAAAATACACCGTAGTATGCCAGGCAGAAGGCAGGCATTAAGGTATGCACAGAAGAGAATTTAGATCGGGGCTATAGGAATAGAAACATCTGTATTTTATCTGACAGTGAAAATGCAAATAAAGCGTTTGACAACTGCCAGATTATCTCAAAACTGGCCTGGAAGTGCCATCAATTCCTGGTGAAACTGGCTCAACTGATATGGGTGCTGGGTGACAGAGGTACTAAGGGTAATGTAACTGCTGACCAACTGGCAAGACTGGAATCTGAAGGTTCTTTTACAGGACTTAAACATGTAAAGGGCTTCCTACAAGGACAAGAAGAACTAGGGAACTACTGAAACTAAATAGAAACCAGTTATGATGGGCAACAGGAGCACTGTCATCTGAAAGGACACCTTTTCAAATTTGGATTAACCAACAATCCCACATGTGACAGGTGCCTTGTGTATCTTATATGATTGTGAAGTCTTGGCTTACCTAAGGTTGTATCATTTGGAACACTAATTTACTGAACCAGGTGACTACAAAGATGCCCCTTTAAGTAAGGTAACTACACTTTGTTTGATATATAGGATTGTTGGGGGATCAAACAGAGGGATCACTGCTGGTTGTGGTGCAAGGACCACTTAAAGCCCACCCCTTACTCATTCATTCATTCATTCATTCATGAGAGTGAACTATGAACTTTCATGCATGCAGTTTTCATCAGTGTTAACACTACCATTATCATCAACAGCATCATATAGAGATGTAAAAAACCGTTAAATCTTAATAAAAAGTTATTAGTTTCTATTTGAATGTATGATGTGAACTGAAACTGTCATACTAGAAATCCTGTTGAACATAAAAGACTTTTCCTGCATGGCTGCCTACTCAGGGTATGATATAACCTCACAGATGTTTAAGATAAAGCACACCTATGAATTCTAAACTGGGTTTTGGAAAGGATATGCATAATCCTTCCAAATGAAGGTTGAGACAGGATCCTGAAATGGGATGCTTTGCTAAACTGACATCAAATCGTGACAATCTATTTGCTAAAGAACCCCTTAACACAGGACACCAATATTTCCTCCAGCTGAAAAAATGCAATGTGATAAACGTACTTCTTCCTTAAGAAAATCACAAGGGATTTGTGGTAAAGTATTCTGAAACTTTTTATATCATGACAGAAAAAAAAAGAAGAAAAAAGACATGACAGCCAAAATCTGTGTGACCTTGATTTGGAATTTTTTAGATTTTTGTTTCAGGCCGGTATGTTACTCTGTGCAATGTGTTGTGCCCTATACTTTGAACACCACAATGTTAGTTTCGTGTTTACATTTCATTTTCTTGGTAACAGGCAAGCTATTCATGGACATTATTCACGCATACACAAGTCTGCACATTAAATGGGGGGTTGATATATGTTAGAAAGCAACCTCGATTTTAATCCATAAAATCACACATAAATAGGTGCATAAACACACATTCCTACCCTATGCATGCATATATGCTTGTGACTATACACGTGTGGACTGGAGATGTAATGTTAGTCTAAAACGTGAAACTTGCAATGCACCCAAGAGCAGAACATGAAACCCACCTGGCTTTATTCGTTTTGGAATGCTTGTCTTTATCCTTCTCCTTGCGAATGGGCCTGCTTTTGGTGGTACTACTGATGCTTAATGGTGCTGCATCAACGTCTATCACACCATCATCTCTGAGTGCTTCATCCAAAACAGCTTGTATCTTAGGTGCAATCAATGGACCTTGATAATCTGAAGTTGTGCGCGTGTGAGGATCCAGTTCCAAGTTTAATATGTTTTCCCCCTGTTAACACATTGCACTCTTTAAAAGCAACTGTGCTTAATAAACGAATATTTACATTTTCCTATTCAATGTTGGGTGGATTTCATGTTATTTAAGATGTTTCAATATGTGGTCCCCTGTGTTAAGACCTAGAATTGAAAAACGGGGTTCAAGGCTTCAGTATATGTCAAGGAGAAGATGTGTATGATTTCTAAAAGACAGGTGTTTAAGACTGCACCTCTTATTCTTACCTGGTTACAAGGCTGTTGAAGGTATCAGTGTTCATACCACTATAGCGGAAATAATATTAAAGTACATTTCACTGCAAGGAAGTAAATACCCCCAGTCTATACTAAAAAATAAGTATGAAATCTATGTTTGCTGTTAATCATCAGATGACAGATACTATCAAAATTCTCAAAATCACAGACATACCAGTCCATTACATCATAGCACATCATTAACAATTTTAAGCATGGACAGAGGGGGGGAAGCAATCCAACATCGGATTACAGAACACTTCTAGAAATTCCTGTGACTTTTAACGAGAAACACCTACACATATTAACGTTGATCTGATGTTTAATTTAAAACTCTTGGGTTTAATATGAAGCATAACACTACTTAAAAAATAAATGTTTAAACAAGACACTTGTCCTCTGTTTGCCTCCCTCACTCATTGTTAATTGGAGCTTGCTCCAAGCCAGCAGCCACCTTCCTGAACAACTGTTCAACTGGGTGTGGAAAAACGAAACTGCAAAAACTGTCAGCTAAAGAATGTAAATTAATATTACTCACATGATAACGATGATGTCTGCCAACTTTGATTGCAACCCGACTGTAGTCAGAAATGGGACGTCTTTCATCATCAGCAGAGACAGGTCTCTTGGAGATATTTGGTATTTCTTCTTCATATGGGGAGACACAAAATGTGCCTTCTTCTTCATCATATCTGACCCGAGCCAAAAGCTTATTTTTTTCATCCACTGGTATGAAGTTTTCTATGATGAGGTACTTCACTTTCAGATCTCTGTAAGGTATTTAGAACACAATATAAGTTAAACACTGCAATCTACAAACACAGATATATATTTTTTTCCCTTCCTCCATCAATTAACTGTACAAATTCAACTACAGCAGACTTTTGAAACATCCATGTGTGACTTATTTGCTTCAGAGATTAACTGCAGAACTTTCTGAACCCCTTGGCTATAGATTCCACATTTCTATAATGACATAAGTGCTGCCTATTACATCTGTTTCAGTAATATTTTACAATGACTTGAAGTGCAATGTACGTATATCAACTCAACCTGCTGCAATTTTCTAATTATATCAAGTTTACTGCTTTTCACCACTTCAGGCATACTACCACTGAACAACGATTGCTTTTCTCCTATTGAAAAGATAATTATTATCACTGTTCAATGACCTTCAGACTGTACAGGTTTCAAACTTCAGAGTTCAATAAATATTGATATCTGGATTATCCACTGTTCTAACTGTCCACGCTACTTCCTGCCTTCATTGTGGATGACTGAGAATTCACTGTAGTCAGAAGTTCAGGCAGTTATCATATTTACGCACTTATCCTGCCACAGGTTCAGTCTGGAAATTGGAATGCCACCTACACAAGTCATTCCATTCATTAACAAACAGACAAAAATGACTTTCTTTTCCACTGTACTGGGTAAATTAATTATATGACCATGCTATGGCCATAAACAAAGTTTTGGAACTAAAAGAACAATTTTAATGAAAACATTAAAGTAAAAATTCAAATTCGCTTAGTGGAGGGTGGAGTCCAACTGGGTTCACTCGGCACGGTGGCCACTGACTGGCTTATTGTAGCCTGCCACGGGTGATTATGATGATGGAGAATTCGGTGAAATGAAGATTGGCAGGGGAAACAGATGTACTCGGAGAAAACGCCCCAGCGCCACTTTGTCCACCACAAATCCCACTTGACCAGACCCAGGATCGAACACGGGCCACTGCAGTGGGAAGCCAGCAATTAACCGCTTGAGCTTAAACATTAAAGTATCTTAAAAGGAATTTCATGATATATTTCATCTAAAGCACAAAACTTATATAATAAAATCAACTGCAACTAATTTTCAGTTGCTTATGCAAGCAAATAATTCACAACTAAAAAAAAATTCCAAGCAAAATAAATATGCATATAAAATAAACCAGAAATACATAACATAAAACTCTTTTGTCCAGAAATACAGGACTAATTACATATCTCAGCTTGTAACAGATTGAACGGATTAATATTATAAACTGTTGGGAACAGTGACAGAGGGAGTATGCTTATAGTATCAAGAACTTCAATACAGTAACAAAAATCATTGGAACCAACAATTTCTTAATGCTACACATATGGAAAACAACTGCATAAAACAAGGGTTACTTTTCTTGCACCACCACAAACAGTGATTCATAATAAGCTGCCACTGTTTCCCATAACTTTATACATCAAATGTAGTTCCAGTTTTGCTTTTGATGTTATTTATGGCTAGCAGTCTGCAAAGGTACCATTAATCCACTCTCTCTGCCCTACCCTTGCCTAGGACAAAGTTCACATTCCAAAATCAGAAAGCAGCTCCCTCTTCACAAGTTTCAACATGTGGGAAAAGTACATCACGCGACATCCTCTGAATTTCATCATCAATTCAACAGCTTTTTTTTTTCTTTCATTTTGTGCATCCTGTTGTGTTATTATATACAATTCTTTATTGGAGTCGGCTGTAACACAACAACCTAACGGTCAAGATTAATATTACCTTAGCTACATGTTTCGGCTTTTGAAATCATCATCAGGCAAACACATGATTACTATATTCACGCACTATTGAACTGCAATGTCATTGTGACAGTAAAGATGGATACTTGATAACTGTTACATTATAAAATAAAAGGTATAAAAATACAATTTATTATAAACTTATTAAAAAAAAAAAACTTATGGAATAAAATATGGTTATAAACTCATGTGATATTTCATATTATGAAGTCAGTTGTTGCGATCTTGTTGTTATATTCCCGTGGACATAATGGTATATTCAAGAACTGTATACATAAAGCAAACTGCTTGGAGGCCTGTGGTATAGATGTAGTATTATTTTACATTAATTGTTTGGCTGGTGCCTAATTTTACAATGTATTTTGTCCGCTCTGTTGGGAATACAGGTTGCAAACTTTCGTTTTTTAATAAGTTTATAATTCATTGTATTTTTATACCTTGTACTTTATAATGTAACAATTATCAAGTATTCAGTTTTACTATCACAATATAATCACTCATAATATCAAGGTTACACTTTAGGAATGAAAATGTCTGTACTATGAAAGTTTTGTCCTTGTCAAGATATGATTGTAACAGAAATGCATAATAGGTTACAGAGTCGATAAGAGACGTCACACAAAAACACATGATGGCCAAAAACATGCACCACTTTTATTGTGGACACAAGACCAATGTATGAATGCCCAGCATCCTCTGAACTCTGTCCTAGCAGTTTCAGCAAAGTTAATAATGTCATAAGTGTCACTATAAGCCTGACTATTTTCACACAAACCATTATATCCACTGTTTTGTACTGTGAGTAGATCAGGACTCCTTCTTCTTTTGAGATATTTACCATTATTTAGGCTGTAGAGTACTGAATGGTCAGATGATTCATGAATTTGAAAGAATATGGATAGAAGTGGTCATGGCCTATTGAGGTACTATGCCAGCATTTGGCGGGGTAACTGCGACTTTCTTATGTCACATGTTAGAGGTGGGAATGATGCCATCCTTGGTGAGGTTGGTCAAACCATGGCTGCGTCTTTGGTGGGGACGCATCATGCACCAGGGATGCGTTAGGACACCTCCTCGTGGTCCCACTGGGCAACAACAGTCTCGGGGTCTGGATCAGTATGACCTACCAGGGCTGGCGGTTAAGTTCCCATACAGGGCAATGGCATTATGACTGGAGACTCCCACACGGTGGCATAATGACTCTTGCATATCACCATGGTGTACCTGGGACGAACGCGGGATAGCACTCCCAGGGGGGTAGCTTCGGCTATCTGAGTTGTCTCCCTAGAGTACCGATAAGGTGCCGCAAGCCTTTGGGCTCAACACTCTAAAACGGTTTGACCAACCCATGTGCAGGGGTGGAAATGGGAGAGCTCATAGGCCACCTTCAGTGGCGACTCTCTCATGCAGGTTGCTCTGGTCGCAACTCATGACTAACTGGTGTCCCATTGCCATTAATCATCTGGGATACCCTTCTCCCCCCAAACAGGCACTCTTGGTCCTGGAGGCTTGTGAGGGTTGCATTCACTACAGGACCAAACCACCTAAGCCAAGGTGTGAGGCACCGTGCTGAGGGCTGCATGGCACTGGGGTGGTAATTAGCCAGTGTCTTGAACGATCCCCTTGGGGCACCAGGCAGCACCCCGTTGTATTTATGCTTTCCACCCATAAGGGGCGCTGTGGGTGGCGACCTTTTAAATCCCCCTGACTCGTGGGACCAAAATGAAAGGAACCAGACTAAAAACCGGTCATAAGGACCTCAAACTGAAAAGGGACCCCCTTCCAAGGGGATCCCTATGAGAAATGATTCAGCAGGGGGATGGAAACTCTGTTGAACCACTAAGGGACCCAGTTGCAACCAGTGAACCTGCTGTTGAACTTTTGGCTGAAGGCAGGGACGAACCTGTGGTTCAAAACCTACCCGAGGTAAAACCAAAAACTCCTTGCTTGGAAGTCAATAGTACTGACATACCACTGCAAGGGGCTTGTACTTCTAGCACACCTGCAGCAGAAGAAGGACTGGGACACCAAGTCTCTGGAGTAGGTGGACACCGTCTAGCGAAGAAGGCCTTGTCTGGATGTGCTACACAGGAATTAAAAAAGGCAAGAGCTGGGGCAAGGAAAGCAGGAACTGGGGGCAGTCGGCAACCGGGAAATGCAGACTCACCCAAGCAGGAAGAAACCCCTACCATAACCTTTAAGAGGCCAAGGTCAGAGGGCAGTACCCTTGAAGAAATGGCAAGAGCTCCAAAAAGGTCCAGGGACTTACAAGGAGGCTCTGACCAATATAAAGGTAGCTATCTTCAAGGAAACGTATCCTGAAGACAAGCTAACAGAGGGAGACCAGGACAGGCGTTACATAGGACTCCTTTGGGAGAACTACCAAGCACAAACTGGAGGGAGGTGCATTAATATATACGTGTGCCAACCAACAGTCTGGACAGTGGCTCATTAGAACCAAATATATTCACAGATTAAATCAGGGAATAGGCTGAAGATTACTGATGCCAAGAACCTGCCCAAACCTGTGAAGGTGGCTCTCAGGACGAAGAACAAAGTTGCCCCAAATCCTGAGGAGCTGCTGAAATGGATCGGGAATCTTAATCCAGGACTCCATACTGAGAGTTGGAAAATACTGGATAGGAAATCTGAACCGAAAGGGAAGAGACTTATCCTCCTTATAGACCAGGATTCCCTACCTGTTATCAAGGGAAGTGGATATAGGGTATATACAGGACTCTCACAGGGGACTGTTAGGGTCCTGCAAGATTCTGAGGAGCAGCAGCATGAAGAAGTTACTGTGCCCAGTTCAATACCATCGGAATTGGCCGCTGAGGAGGGGGACGATGTACGCACTCCCTCAGTTGACCGGAAGAGAGTATCCAATGAGGAGACAATCCCTCCTCTCGTCAACCCGATCTTACCAGATCAGGGACTTCCCTTGGAGGAAACCAGGTGTGATAAAAGAAAGGGGCTGTGGAAGAAGGTATGGAGGACACACTTCCCAGCATTACAGAATGAACACACAACATACATACATACATACATACACACACACACACACACACACACGACATTTACACACAAAATACGATTCATTCAAATTAACCTACACCACAGCAGGGCTGCTACGGCAATTTTTAGTTCACAACTTGCTGAAGGAAAAGTAGATGAAGCACTTATTCATGAACCTTGGATATACAGAGGCCAAATAAGAGGCTTAACGAATTCAAGGGGAACAGTTTATTCTGTTGCTCATTCATCTGTAATCTGTCAAGACGACAGGTCCACAGTCTCTTCCAAAACAGTTCCTCCACTTGATGCGATCTACAGCTTTCTCTTTCAAATGAAAATATCCTCTTCTGTCCCCAAGGTCATCCAGCATCTTCTTACGTCTTCTTCCTCATCTTCTGGTCACTTCTATCTGCCCCTCTATTTTTCTTTCAATAACTTATTTTAGAAGGCAGTTACCGCATAAGATATGACCAATCCAATTAGCCTTCCGTTTTCTTATTTCGTGTAGGATATTCCTATGCTCACTGACTCTAAATAACACTTCTTCATTTCTCACATAATCGGTCCAACTGATCTTCTCCATCCTTCTCCAACACCACATTTTGAAGCTTTCCAGGTGTTTCTGATCTACTGCCCTAAGTGTCCAAGTCTCAGCCACATACAAAGCAATGCTCCAAATGTAGCATTTCACTAGTTTCTTTCTCAAATTAAGTCCAATTTGCTGGTAAAAAGATTCTTCTTGCTTAATGAAGCTTTTGCCATGGCAATCCTACATTTAATTTCACACATACACCTTCCATCATCTGTTAACAAGCTACCCAAATACGCGATGCGTTCCGTATATAATGCCTCCTATTTTTTTTT